AGTCACCCTTACGAAATACTCGTAACCATGACCCAATATTCGGCTCTCATATTCTATGGCCTCAGTGCTTTGGGTTTACTGGTAAGAGTTTTTTTTTGTTGATGTTAAAAATACCTATCTACATTACAATACGTAATCATAACTCGGGAACAAATTTTCTAGATAGCGTTGTTCACCGCCTGTTTTTTCAAGAAAATAGAATAAATAAGCGTATACGTATTCATAGATAATGCATATACGTGTTAAGGATCTTAATTAACATACCTGACTCGGGTATTTTATTACCGAGCTAACAATAAAAGGAAAATATATGAGCTAAAGTAAAAAACCGAATTTTAAAAATCATGATATACCTCGACGTATATAAGACTTCCCGCAAAAGAAAAAAGTGACCCTACAACGTATAAGAGTAAAGTCATCCCACCACTTCCAGTTAAATACCAAATAAGACCAGGCGTAGAAAATATTCCTAAAGAACAAAAGATCCTTAAAAAAAAGGAAAAAGACAATTCCGTGTAATTTTCTCTGAATAATTACCACTCCCGATCATATTGTTCACGTTCATACAAAATCCCGTGAATGTATCAATGAGTTTAGAATTCTGATTATCAGTATTACTTTCGATTTCGTGGACCATTATTATACGGGGAATTGATTAACGAAAGATTGCGATAAGTGCAAGCTAAAGAATTCGTATGCGATATACGGTGCTGTATTTATACATTATTTCGGATTAGCCGGAAGATATTGCTTTTGGTTTAGATTTTCGATGAGTTGCGCAGAGAAAAGCAGATTTAAAATGAAAGGATATATTTAGAAGTTAACACGATCAAGATGAATATAATATAAAAGCCTAGAAATGGTATTAATTATACATTAGTACAGTATCAATAAGGCTTGAGCATGTGTATACAGTATTTCAGTTTCTTACCAGGCATACATGTTGATCTTGATTACACACATTCGAAATATAGTTTCCCGAAAACCTTGTATACAATTGGGTTATCAATTTTAACAAAAAAAATTGGTTAATTAAAGAACCGTTGTACGGCAGATACTGTATCAATAATAAACACAAATAAACGGTGTCGATATATACTGTGTATGGAGCACTTTCAAAGATGACCTTTTGTAGAACCAAGGTTTATGATTATGACAAGTTTACTTATTTGTTAAGTTTTCAAAGGTTTAAATCCTGCCCTTTTACACGACATTGTGTATGCATACAGTATGAAATTACCCGATGCATGACGATAGTAATGCAAGGGTTATTACTGTATCACGGGGATTATTCTACATGTGACTTTTGTAGTACAGATATTGTTATTTATGTAATGATGAGATCTCGATACCCTTGTTTTCTTCGATAAGACATTATAGAAGGGATGCAGATAGGATTTGAAGATAGAAAACAGTTATAAGGGGTGGAAATGAGAAAGTGTAAGTATGAAAGGAAAACAAATAATGTTGAAGCGTTAAGATCCACAATCATCGATATTAGGGTTAAAGAGATAATAAATTAGAAGCAAATAGTAGTGATGAAGGTAGTCGAAGACAGATCTTGTATTTAGTTGTAGCAGCGTAGCACTATTTCCCGTTTTGTTTCTTCTTACACTAATAAAATCTGAGTGAGAATAATTTACTGTAATGGGCCAAATGATAAGTTGTACCAAGTGCGCAATGCACAGTATACCTATGGATAAAAGTTTCAAAAACCCAACACTTACTGTAGTCATAAACACGTCATAACAAACTATATTTTCTCGTACGCGCAGCCAATTTATTCAAAAGCTGCTAGTATACATGTTTTCAATTACGATAAATGATGTGAACGAAATTATCAAATTCGAAACAATCAATAATTAGTAATAATACAGTTGTATTTATATCAAATTTTTCTAGCAAAGGTTTTAGCTAAAACTAAATTTTACTTATGACATATAGAACTTGTTTGAAACTTGAATTGTGAAGAACTCGGGTTACGCGTAGCTCGAGTTCGTTTAGCTCTGGTTTATGTCGCTTACATAGTAAATATTGTTATTCGTTGGTATTTTGCATTTATCAATTATTTTACACCCTATTTTTCATGCTCTAATCCTGATAAGGACATTGGTTCGAATAAAAATGATCATGGTTTTTTTCTTTTACATGATCTGATATTTTCATGGTTCTGCGCAAAACCTCAGTGCCGAATTTGAAAAATGTTGGATGACTGATATATGATAAGGTACTTTCTATTTTATTATAATGACATCATTAAAATGATGCGTATTTTAAAAAGCGTTTTTTTATTTTTTGTTTAAAGAATTAATTAAATAATGATTATAAAAAATATATGTACTTTTTTTTAAATAGTAAAAAACATTTTTATTAGACAATTTATAAATAGTCAAACCATTCTTTTAATTTTTGGGATTTGTTTTAAGATACTGTAAATTTATTGATTAATTGTTAATGTATACAGTATACAGTATATATATATACCTATTTATTATATAAAAATATTTTTATATTCAAATATACCGAAAAATTTTTAAAATAATTGCAATTATTAATTTATAAATAAAAAATATATAGATGTAGTTTTGTTTTGTTTTTATTGGTTATTTATAAAATAGTAAGTCAAATAAAATTTTAAAAAAAGTCCAAAGACTTTTAGAAGACTGTATATCTGTATATTGGATATATGGTATTTCACATTGGTGTTAAATATACAGTACATGCAAAAAATAACTGACAATTGACAAATTGGACGAACAGTCCTATAGTAGACGCAGGATTCTCCCATAATGCTTACTAGAACTGCTATAAATTCCAAGTCTCAAGGCATTATTCATTTTACCCAAAGAATCTAATAAAAAATAACATTTAAAAAGTACCTTAGTACAATTTGATAGATTCCATTAACATAAAATACTTTTGGTAATAATATTTACAATTAAAGCTATTTTACCTCTCATATGCGAATAAGATCTGTAACATGAGCTACAGTAATTACCAAATAAACACCCATGGATACATGGTAAGGAATTTTAATTATATACCTGATTCGAGTATGTCACTGCGGAACTAACAAATAGAGAAAAAAATAAAAGTAAAAAACCAAATTCAAAATTCATATACAGTGCCTTGGCGTATATAAAATTTCCCGTCAAAAAGATAAAAACCTATGATTTTTAGATATATGGTCATTCCGTTACTTCTAGTTAAGTACCAAATAAGACCGAGTGTATAAAATATGCTTAAAGAACAAAAGAGACTTTTTAAAAAAAAAGTACTGATTTTCTTTAAATATTTCCCACGTCCTATTATGTTGTTCACGTTCATCCAAATTCCGGAGAAGTTTTGATTAACATTACTTTCGATTATAGGGTCGTCATTATTGTACGAGGAAACGGTCAATGAGTGTTGCAATAAATTTGTTTAAATCAGATACACATGCAGAATCTTGATTACATATATTCCATATAACATGAAACTTAATATACAAGATTAAAATATTGATTCTTCCAGAGAGATCTTTGCATATAATTTTGGATTGTACAACGGATATAAACCTGATTACCGACTAAACTTAAATGCAGTAACAGGCGTCAGCATATAGATTCAATGTTGAACTTACTGTATTTGTTTAGGTTCAAATTATGGTCAGTGACAATTGTGCCTTTTACGCATATTTACCCCGCATTGTGTATACAGTATATGGAACGAAAATCATATTCCGCCTATCTACATTATTCCGCGTAGCACAACCAAAGAGGTGTATTTAAAGGTAAATGCTGTTACATGTTTGTCAAAAACTGTCATTATAGTGAAACGGACTAACTAAAAAAGTAGCATAAATTTTGTGGAAAACGGTAATATAAATCCGAATTCCAATAGGAAAGAAGCAGTGTAAGTCTCTTATTCGCCATAACGACTGGACTTTTTATAAGCTAGTGGTTGATATCGGTAATTATTATTAATTTACCATACAAGTTCGTTATCATTTGACATCAGACAAGTGGATTTTTCAAACAGATAAACATAATGTAAAGGGTCTTTGAAAATGGGAAAATGGAAACATTCATGTTATCAAATTTCCTTCAGATTTTCATGGTAAGAGTATTAGCGAAGTTGGGTGCAATAAAGATATTGTGTCGATCACTTTCTCTAACATTACTTTTTCCAATGTGGCAAATGAATGTTTTATTGGTTTTCTTTACGTCACTATATTCTAAGTACGTTTTTATTACTCATTAAAGTACTGTATAAAGAACAAGAGAAGAAGTCAAAAATCCAGATGTGTCTCTTATATCTTTAAAGAATTTTTAAGTACCTAGAGCCAATGCAAGGGATGATTGACAAATAAGGTGACAATTAGATTATGTTTTTTGTTGAAATGTTATATCTCACAATTATTAAATATTTGGTACAAATGACATTTCATTTATTTGTGCTAAAATAAATATAATAAAAAAATATAGAGCTTCATCTTGTTCATTTATAATATAATTGTATTAAATTTTATTATTTGTAACAGTCAATGTATTTAATCACTATAAGTATCTTATCATATGATGAATATGGAATATTCTGGGATGAATTATTATCCACGATTTCTAATTGATTTTCTTTGAAAAGTCCAAAATATTAATCCGATGCCCATGAAAACGAAAGAAAGCAGGTATCGTATATAGTAATATGAATCGGTAATTTCCGATGGCACAAAAGCTCCGATACAGATAATCACTGTTATTATGAAAAACGAATAAACTATTTTTCTTGGAACTTCAAATAGACCGTTACGAAATTCATTATTTCTTCTTCTTAAGAACTTTGAAAATAATTTTTTGTGATTACGTATTGTGATGTAGATAAGTATTTTTAACATCAAAAACAAAAAATAACTCTTACCAGTAAACTCAAAGCACTGAGACCATAGAATATGAGAGCCGAATATTGGATCATGGTTACGAGTATTTCGTAAGGGTGACTTGGTGGAAAGAAGAAAATGATTACAGAGCAGTATAGCCATTGAAGAATCAATGCACTAATGGGAGCGTCATGATGATTATTTTCATTGTCATTTTCATCGATATTTTCATTGTGATCTACGCTATTTTCATCATTATTTTCATCGTCATTGTGATCTACGTTAACAACTTGAAATCTTCTTAAGATAGCCCTAGGAACACTTTTAAATTCTTTTAAGTGCGAAGAGAAGTAGGGAATGAATCCGCTATCGGCAGCAGATGCAATAATTCTAGAACCACTCCAAACTATTGAAGCGGTGGCCCCAATTGAAGATAATGCAACCAAAGTCGAAATCCCGCGTCTAAAATCAATTACATCACCTAATGTTGCACTCATGATCTCTTTATAAGTGCCTCTGTGGGCCTCATCGTGATCTACTATTGTAATGAAGGAAAGAATGCCAAGTATATCTGAAAAAATATATATTATATTATATATACTGTAACTGACAAAAATACAAATCGGGCAAAACAGTAGTAGATATCAGGTTCATACATAATACGCTTACTAGAACAACGCTTATTATGTTTGAATATTTTAGCCTCTTAGAGACATTATTCATTTCACCCAAAGAATCTAATAAAATTAATTTAAAAAATATGTTAGTACGATTTAATAAATTCCATAAGCAAGAAATAATTTTAGTAACAAAATTTACAATTCAGATTGTTCCATCCCGCAAAAGCGAATAGGACCTGCAGCATAGAGCTACAGTAATTACCAAAATTTCCAATTCCTTTTGTTCCAGAGAACAGAGCGTTCCAAGTTAGCTTTTCAGAATTTTTTGCAATTTCCGTCAATCCAATTATGGAAATAATCAATAATGTCAAAAACTTGATTATTGACAATGTTTGGTTTATTAACAAAGCATAATGACTCGAGAATACGTGGTATAAAGTAATTATAGTTAATATAGAAAATGCAATTAAACGAACTTCCCAAAATAAGGAGGACGCGACATATCCTTCAGGATATAAAGTGGTAGTGTCGTTAGACTTTGCATAAATTATATATTCTGACGCGATAATTGCATCTGTTATAATGGCACCGCTACTCATAAAACTGAGAAATATATAGCATTATTAAAGAACGTATTTTCACGAGCTGAAAAAAAATTATAGAACTATAAGGTGTGTATACTCACGTGATTATACAGAAACTAAATATATATCCAATAACTTTATCGGGGTTCGGAAACGATTTTTCTAGATAGCGTTGCTCACCGCCTGTTTTTTCAAGAAAATAAAATAAATAAGCATATACGTATCCATACATAATGCATACGCATAGTAAGGATCTTAATCACCATACCTGACTCGGGTATTTTACTACCGAGCTAACAACAATAAAGAGACAATACATGAGCTAAAGTAAAAAACCGAATTTCAAAATTCATGATATACCTCGACGTATATAAGACTTCCCGCAAAAGAAAAGAGTGCCCCTATAACGAACAAGAGCAAAGTCATTCCACCGCTTCCAGTTAAATACCAAATAAGACCAGGCGTAGAAAATATTCCTATAAAACAAAGATCCTTAAAACAAAAAGAAAGGACATGCTGTGTGATATTTTTAAATAATTACCACTCCCGATCATATTGTTCACATTCATCCAAAGTCCTCTGAATGTATTAATGAGTTTGGAATTCTGATTTAAGGCATTGTTTTCGATTTCGTGAATCATTATTATACGGGAAAATGACTAAAAAAGATTGCGGTAAATGCAAGC